GAACACAATTTTGAAACTGACGTCTTTAGCTATGTCCTGTGAAAATTTGAGAAAAATTGGTTAAAACCCGCAGGAGCACAACTCGTTTGAAAATCAGTAATTACCGTAAACTTTTTCGGGAGAAAATTGAATTTGAATATTACATTTTCAATGTTTTTCTTATTGCACCGAAATGTATTTTATTAAATAACTCTGCGAGTTTTCAACATTTTTCGTTCAAACTTGGTCAGATAGTAGAACTAGTCTAATGCTTTCATGGAAACCAATAAAAAATTTTTTAGTCAAAATTAACCCTAAAAGGTGTTCTGTAACCTTAAGGAAGAAGATACATATGCATGTTAAGTCACAAAATAAGCTGAATCGAACGCTTTAGTTCAATCCTACTACATGGAATTGCTCCACTTCTCACTATTGCCCCTCTGCTATAGGAGGTGCTAATCATCGTTACTTGCAGCTGAGAGCTAAGTTAAATTGCGAAGGACTTCCTAGCTGTAAATTCCTACTTCATTTGGTTCATACTGTATACATGTACGTATATACCCTGGTATTTTTACTTTTATACTGCCAAGCGAAAAAAAAGAATACAGTAACTACAAGAAAACAATTACAGCTCGAACGGAAAAACCGAGGCCGCTTTTGCGTATTTTTGATGTTTTCAAACTAACCAAACCAATCACCAGCGGGTTATTTTGACTAAACATTTTCCGGTTATGAACTTATGACATAGCCATAGGTCTAAATTAGCCGCTGTTAACTGGTTTTGGCTTAGTTTGAAAACATTATAAATATGCAAAAGTGGCCTCGGTTTGCCTGTTCGAGCTGTAAGAAGCAAAGAAACATACTAAAACGGGCTAAAAACAGGAGACAAAACTTACATCAGTATCTTCTCTGAGCTTTTCCATGAAATCTTTCTTACTGTCCTCCCCAAGATAAATTTTTATACCGTCGGCTAAGAAATCTTGATCTTTCCATGTAAGCGATCGTTCAACCTAAGGACAAAAAATTGACTTTATTGTAATCTTATACAATCAAAGGAATTGGTTAATAATATATCAAAAGCCCTTCAACAGAGATTTAGTATTAAAAGCGGACTACTGTACCCATTAGATCAGTGACTGTGCCTAACAACAATAACTAATCACGTTGGCCGAAAAGCACAGTATAGTACATCATACTTTGTATTTACAAAAAGTTGTACTGTGCCTACACTAGGACATATTTTTTTTAATTTCATAAATTGATTACTTTCCACACATTATCTGAATCTTGAATCAGTAAACGTTTGATATCAGGTTTGTTGGTGTTTGGAGTGTGTGAGGGGGGGGGGGAGGAGGTTATTTCCCCTCCTATAGTAAAAAACAGTTTTCAAAGTCAATTGTCCCTTCAAAATTTCCATTGAGCTTAGTTTTTGACATAGAAGGCATTTTTCTTGTTAGAACCTGGCAAAGTAATACAACAAACACGTGGTGTGTCATATATTTTCATAACACAATAAAAAGCATGAACAAGGATATGTAGCTTGTTAATGTTATGCGACACTTCCCTACCACACCATTTTAAACTCCAAAATATCCTAACAAAACTCTAAGTTTACCTTCCGACGTGACTTTTCTTTGTCCTTTTCTTTTTCTTTCGTTTTAACCTGCCTGTCAACTGTTGATCCCTTGAGATCATATTTTTTGTGGATCTTTAGTCCTCCAAAAATATTTTCCATCACAACAAAATATGTTTCTTTGTTTTCCACAGTTACACGATACATGCCCACGTAATGAGGGAGTAACGTGTTGGTTTTTCTTTCGACCACAAACTGGGTAAAAAAAGGTAAAGAGTTGTTTTGGTGGCAGACACTAGAAGGAGCAAAGGGGGGATTAACTGCACTCCAATTCTTGAAGTCTCTGGAAATTTAGTTAACTAACTCTGGTGTAGGGTGAGGCGGTTTCTACAAAAAACCGAAAACCGCCCAAAAAAAAACGAAAAAACCGAGTGAACCGGTTTTTTAAAAAAATACGTTCGAAAATCGAAACTAAGGTAAAAAAGACACAACACGCTACTCAGTACTCACGCAAGACTTCGGTTTAAAAAACAATTATATTAACCCTTGCTACGAAGTATAAAAGGAACATGCAGTGTAGAGATATAATTTTTACAATAAACTATGTACAAATATTGAAATATTGCGTAAACCACTATAAGTTCTCCGCCAGGAACACAAGTTTGTCAACTTTCTCCGGTTTAAGTTGTGCTCGTGCCGGCGTGCTAACTTGCCCCGCTTTACTGAAAAGTCTCTCCGACGGCGAACTGCTTGCTTGGATGGCAAGATACCTTCTCGATAACTGGCAGAGCAACGGTAGTTCCTTTGCATTTAATTACCATTGAAGTGGATCGTCATCTCCGTCTATCACTGGGAATGCCGAGATATAGCGGTCAATCTCTTTGGATAGACGGCTACGCGGGGATGCAGCGGGCTTTTTTCGGTTTTTCCGGTTTTCCGGTTTTTCTCCAAAAGTAACATCGAGTAATTCGGTTTTAAAAAAAAATCTTTTTTTCCGGTTTACCGAAAAACCGCATCACCCTACTCTGGTGTACACAGCAAGTAAGCTGTATAACAATAGGTTTTCAGATTCAAAACCTCATAGTCTAAAACGGTACACAGGATGAAACTTAGAGCAACAAAAGGGTTGGAGACATAAATTTGTGCACCCCTCAAGAGTTCCCTAATTGTAGATTAAAATGTTCCGATAAAATCTTGACTGGTGATATAATCTTAACTTCTGATATAATCTTAAGGCCCATTTCCACTCAAGAAAAATTTTCACGGACAGAAAATTTTCTGAAAATATCATTGTTAAAAGTTGAAAATTTTCAACTTCAAAATTTTTTTGTGTCGGCCAATCACATTTTACAAAATTTTCTTTCTGCGGAAAATTTTCCTGAGTGGAAATGGGCCTTTAATTAATATTGAACATGAAGTTCTCCATTTTACAGGTAGTTGTATCTCTATCAATCTGCAGCTTTCGTACTTCTGATATATTACACAACTTTGTACCACTGTAGGGCAATAATAAAGATGGTACCTGATAGTATTTTGGCAATATTTGATGCATCATTTCAACTTCTTCTTTATAAAGAGTTTTGGCGAGGAATTTCTTATTTCTGGAGGTTAGAAAACATGCACCACTTCTTCCTGATGATGAACTTCTCGATGGTGGTATACAGAATGAACGCTAAAGCAAGGAAAAAAATCAATCAATCAATAAATTTATTCAAGGTAGAATGATGTTTACACACAAAGGCCTTGCAGGAGCAGCCAGAGATTAACCCTATATAAGGAACTCCTTGAAAATGTCCCTCAATCTTGCGATGCATGATTAGGAATATTTGCCTCAGCAACAAGATTGAGGGACATTTTCAATTTTTCCCTCCAAGGTAAAATCTTTAATCTTACATTGCACACATGCAGAATGAGTATTGTTGAAATTTCCATTATAAAATAACATGTATATAACGTGTGCTCTGATTGGTCTAAACCTGTGTTTGGATCAGGCCATCCAAACACGGAAGACTATCGTGTTGCTGTTATTTTATAAAACATTCGGCTCGTGCTTTCGCACGCTTTTCTTAACTCTCGCAACATTCCCGCGTGTTTGGATCAGGCCATCCAAACACGGAAGACTATCGTGTTGCTGTTATTTTATAAAACATTCGGCTCGTGCTTTCGCACGCTTTTCTTAACTCTCGCAACATTCCCGCGTGTTTGGATCAGGCCATCCAAACACGGAAACCATAAAGTAATTGTATATTTCTAAACCTTTTAGGAACATTTGAAAAAGGCAATTGAAAATTCTGAGAATATTAATTTTTCAGGCCAACAGACACAGGTTTTCCAACACATGCCTTGGCAAGTGACACATCAGATCAAATGTACAGTACCACTGGATAGTGCATTTCCAAATTGTAAGCATATAAAAATTTGACCTTATTAGCACAAAATAGAGACACACAAAGTCTGTCTTCTTGGTTTTGCCTATGATTTTGGTGTAACCATCACAATACTGTCAGCTGGGGCCAATACACTTACAGTACAAGAGGCATTCACCCCCTGAAAACATTGAAAATGGCAGACATTCAGAAGGGTGAGTCCATGAGTGCCTCTTGCAAGTGCACTGGCTTGGAACATGAGACATGGAACATGAAGAGTGCATTTTCATGAAAAATCATAGTATGACAGGGGTATTTGACTCGGTCAGACTTCCATGTGCAAATGCAATAATAACCATAAAATATATAATTTTGGCATCCCCCAAAACACACATTTTTAAAGTGATTTTCATGTTGTTTGAAAATGTTAAATATGTGAAAGTGCATAGTTTAATTTGTTTATCATGATAACAACCAGGGTGCGATAATTTGAATACTTACGTACCGGAGGTACAGTACGCCAATATTACGGTTTGGTACGTAATATTGGCGTACCAAACCAAATAAACACATGACCTTACCAAACCCAATGTATTCAACCATAATTAAGCTGGTATATGAGCACATCTGACATGTCTTGGCATGAAAATTCTTGGACTGATTGGACTGTACTTCATTTAATGACTAAGTACACCTTGAGTCTTACTGTAAGTGTGCACCAGCTCAAGTACACGGTAATAATCAGTGGAGTACCAAAAATCATGAATTGTCGCACCATTACAACTATGATCACCAAAGTTTAAATGTTTAATTAGTAACATAAAGCTATTCTTGGCACTGAAGCATAGACACTTACTGCAAAAGCCAGATCATCAATGTTGAAACAATCACGCAGCTTCCTAAATACCAGGGGACAATATTCTTTGAATTTAAAATGAGAAGGGAATTTCTCTCTGAAGGAAAAAAATTGTGTTATAATTGTTATTAAATACAAGTACAATTACAAATGTAAAATAATTAAATTAGTAGAAGGTTTGAAGTTGTTGCTTATCTAATGTGATCCGAATATATAGTATATATATATATATATATATTTAGTGTGTGGCGTTAGATCCTACAGGTCTGTCAATTAGCAACTTTTTCCCAACAAAATCAGCACTTTAAAGAATCACAGTCAACCGTGATGCCTGGCACGCTAAATTATTTTGATTGTTTTGTATTCCGCCATTTTATTAGCCACTTTAGTGACGATTAGTGACATCTGAAGCGTATCCTTAGCAATCTGCATTATTCTTAGATGTCATATTTTTCATAGTTGGAATATGTTAATAGATCATTGATTGAGACTTTGGCATGTGTTTTTATCTTAACCAATGATTTTAGAAAGTTTTCTCGTTTTATAAAGTAGATGGCTAATCATGGCTTCTGTATTTCCGGTTCATGGAAGACCAACAAGTGAGGGTATATCAAAAAGAATATTGTTGACAAGTTCAACGTACGTCCTTTGGAAAGAAAGAAAAGAAAGCCTGGGAATACGGGGGCTTTCGCATAGCGAGTTCCTGGGAATATGGGGGCTTTCGCATAGCAAGGCCCTGGGAATACGGGGGCTTTCGCATAGCGAGTTCCTGGGAATATGGGGGCTTTCGCATAGCGAGGCCCTGGGAATACGGGGGCTTTTGCATAGCGAGTTCCTAGGAATACGGGGGCTTTTCAGTTTGCATAGCGAGTTCCTGGGAATATGGGGGCTTTCACATAGCGAGTTTGCCGAAATCCTGCTCCATCAAAGCATGGACGAACTATGTAAACATAGCAGGCAATGGGGCAGTATTTCATAGTAAACACCAGCGGGTAAATGTATTAAAGTTTTTTGTTTATAACAAAGCTAATGTATATCATTTTTAGTCTATGATTATTTTCGAAGACAACACTATTTTTAGCTCCCCATATATGTAAACATTCACATGGCGCGCGAAGCATCACGGTTGACTGTGATTCTTTAAGGGTTCATGTTTTATGCATGGTTCCACTTTGCAAGTAAAGATGATTGGCCAGATTGAGATTGAATGATTAATAAGTAATGTGTATTGAAATAAGGCTCGTTGTTGACCTTGACTTACTCATATACAATCAACCTTGTTCTTGTATTTCTGCATGTATTATTATGCATATATTATGTACATATTCAAAGAAAAATGAGAAGTGAAAAAAGTGAAAAACTATTTTGACCTTAGCATAGTGTAAATAAATCTAAACCTAACACTATTTTGACCAAACTTCTGATGAACTTGACTTACTGGCGAGAAATGTCATTAATAATTGAAGACATCAGCGTCAAATCTCAAGTACAATTTAAACTTCCTATTGTGTTTTATTCTATGTAAGTAAAATCCTCATAAATCTGCTGTAAATAAAGTAGTTTTTCCACACATTTACCCTAGAGATTGTAAACTTTACAAAAAAGGGGTTTGTGTATTTTGAAACTAAAAACCTGTATACAAAAACCTGTATAATGTATTAAAGTTTCATACATAATGCTTAAACGTTTTTGTCGCTTGTATTTAAATATGAAATACACAGAATATACATTAAATACAGTAATAATACATCAAAGGTTTTGTGTTTTACCAAAAACGTCATTCAGACATTAAATTTAGACAATGCAGGCATTACTATAATCACACAGACACCTGGCCCGGATTCCGGCTTGAAACGCTCGACTTCGCAAAGCGTCTTCCAGCACGAGTATCGCACTATTTTACATTGTTATTCACTCAGTGTAGCATAAAAACTATTCATTCAATATACCACGGCTCTATTTAGCTTTTTTTACTAATGTTGAAAATAATCTCGACTATATACTGCACTCGAAAAATTCGGAAATGAATTTTGACAACACAAGACAACAGTCAAACAGAGTCGTCGGAGTCGCCTACCTGTTGAACAGATGATTGTCCACTCGAATTTTCGAGTAAGCTTTGAAATCTTCTGGTAAAAACATTGGAGGTACTTGAACTAGACTCAGTTCATTAATCTGCAAGCATAAAATACCATTTTAAGTCAAAATCTTTTGTCAACAGGAAAAAATCACGAAATATGTTTATCGCTACTTACCGCATGATTCACACCCCACATAAACACACTATATAGCGGCTCGTTCGAACGAAAAAGCTTCACTTTTTGGCTCTTGGCCTTGAACTTTTTGTTCTTTACTTTAAAATTCTGATCCTTCACAGAAGAAGCCATTTTTTAGAGAAAATATGAGCACTGTTATTTTATCTCTGCCATTGAGAATTAATTGATTAGTTTTCTTCTCTTTTGAAGTACACCGCTGACATAATATGTCTGCATTACTCTTTGCATACGTTTCTGCCATAGATATATGGTTTCTGCATACTAATTACTCCACGTTCCAGGACTTAATTGTCTCTTTTTTAGCGTTACAAATGTATACGTATTTCTAACAATTTCAGGATTCTTTAGGGATAAACCTTTATGAAATGGACTCCAATTATCTCACTCCTTGCCTGTCCTTTCTAGAGAGCCCTGTCGGCAGTTTCGCCCCTGCTATGGCGTTCCGATTCCACTGTTCTATGCACTCTGCTCCAAAGTGTAGAACTTTGTCATGGGGTTAATTAAAATGTATTAACATTTCTATAACGCAAATTTACATGTGGATGTGATCAAATGCGCTTTACATCAAGTATTATGCTCACCTAATTACCGTGACAGTTAGCCTAGGCTATTTGATCTTGATTAACGAAAAAAACGAGTGGGTTATATCTCGGTTCATGATGGGAAAGTAGGGAAACCAGCGACCACAACGGTAGTGTTTCACGCAACAAAAAAGCTCTAGCACTAAGCAGACAGAAATACAACTTGCTTTTCCCATAAAAAAACACCATCATTGCGCCAGTCTTTTAAGAGCATTGTAAAAATGAGTAAAAATTATTCTTGCCCAATTAAAAGTAGAAGAATTTAATTTGTTATAATATAATGCTATTGTGTTTTTTTAATTTCACCAGATCGCAAACGTCATGATATTGATATTGGTAAGTGGACCTGCTGATGAATTTCAACTAAATATATTCTGCGATAACAAGTTATTTTAATTTAAATACGAGAAACATAAATTTTACTTCCAATTGTGGTAAGTATTAACTAGAAGCAATTTAAACCAAACCCTGCAAGTGCGTTCCGAGGGGCATTTCACTCCAAAAAAGCGTACGGGATTTTCGGATTTTTAAAAATCCGCGGATTTTTTAGCGGATTTAGCGGATTTTTCCCGGATTTTTTAGCGGATTTTTGAAGAGAAAATTGCTGGATTTTCCGGATTTGTTCGGATTTTCCGGATTTGTTCGGATTTTTTCTGGATTTTTGAAAATCTGTTGGATTTTCCGGATTTGTTTGGATTTTCTGGATTTGTTCGGATTTTTTCTGGATTTTTTTTAATTATAGAGTTATAGAGCTGGGTAACGTTTTGAACAAATAATCTTAAGTTGTACGATGTCAACGTTATGCCAAGACGTCAGGGTCGAGCAGAGGACTGGGACTATGACCACAGCCTTCTGAAACTAACGAAGGCTGGGCATGCAGTCATTTTGTTTAAAATTCAAACAAGTTCATTATTCTTTCAAAAACAGTAAAAGACAATGGTGAATAACTTTTGGTTTTG